TATTTTTTATTTCACATATTTTTTTTATAGAACTGAGTATTCCTTCCATTGACTTTCCTTTTAGTAAATTCATGCATTTTATACTCTGTTTCCAAAAAATCCATTAAACTTGATTTACTCATTTTCAGGATTTTAATTCCTCTACATTTTGATATTTTGAAATTATGTATCGGTGTCTCTCTATGTATAATAGAGTGAATAATAACGTTTATTTTAGCGTGTTCATTTGCCAGATAAAGATAGGATTTATATATGTATATCTTTGATACTAAGATTATGCACTTTATCAGTCACTAGGTGTGTGTACGCATATTTTTTCCTGTTAGACTCTTCCGACGTCGAATTAAATAACGAAAATAAATGGGAAACTTCGTATAAAATTTGCATAGCGTACCACGGGAATTTGCTATATCATGTAACAGCGCCTATATCTTTTGATTTCAAAAGTTAATATGATCAAGCAGCTTTTATATCTCTAGTTCTATTCCATCCTTCGTTTCTCTTACTCGACTTACTCGTGAAATTGCGTTTATCTGTTGACGTACTTGTGAGTATAGACTTACTTTCATCCTAAAAATCTAAACTAATTTGCGTTAAAATTATACAATACATATTCATTTACAGTGTATTACTGTTTCTGTATATGTGTGTGATACAACATTGCGTGAGCAAGACAGCAATATTTTAGTTATTCTTTCGACTATTTGCTTATAGAAACTACATTTAAATAATTTTTGCATTTATTATAGAATTGTTTAAACCTTTGAAATTGATCATTTTGATAATGCCACCGACATTTCGCTTTCAATTTTAAATCCCCAGGTTTTTTTATCAAATTTGCTATCCTATAGATTTAAATAATAATTTATTAATAAAATTAATAATTTATTAATAAAACCCCAAAACCAAACATAATAACGTCAGTGAAGTTTAAATTCGCAGAAACAAAGGTGAAAAGTAATCAGTAGAAACATTATGACAAACAGAAAACATGTTAAAGGATTTAGAATAAATGTAGGAGACTATGTGACCATTGATAATTGTTTATTACTGAATTGTTGCATATAAGGCACAGATTTAAGTGTAGGATCTGAAGAATATCAGAATGATTCGCCGTTTTTACTGTTTTCTAAACACTCCTAATCCTTATTAAAATTTAAAATTTAGGTAGTTATTGTTAATAATATTATTATCATCAAGTTCATATCATTCATTTTTATTTTTGGAAAACTTTCAATTTTATTTTTGCCGTTTCACTCGGCCTTTCATCTTTATTGAAGAAAAATAATCCTCTCGAGTGAATTAAAATAAAAGTTGATAAAACATCTAAAAGTGAATCTGATAATATTTCGGAAGTAAATTAGTAAAGCTGAAATTCTTCTTTGTACAATTTATCACGCTTCTTTGATGGCCAAAAACTAAATGAATGAAAAAATGAATGGGTGTTGTTTCTTTAAAGTTGCGTACATTACTACTTATTTGTTTTCAAGTGATTATTTCAAATAAAGACGTCTTTTATGTTCAACATTTCTTTCAACGCTACCAAGCTCCTGAAAAGTCAATTAATTTCTTATAACACCAATACCATTAGTAGCAGCATTTCAGAATGAACTCATTCTGATGATCACAAATATTGCTATCTAGATTTCTTTAAATAGATTTTATAATTGATTCAGGGGCTTAAGTACCGATCATATCTTCATCTACACTCATATTGGGAAATTACTATCACGTGAATCAATCTCGATTAAAAAAAATTAAGCTTACTCCAATTAAAAACATATTGCTGCTTAATACAGGCTGCCCCAAAAGTCACCAAGAGGCTTCAAAATTTAATAATTCCTTTATTTTTTTTTTAAATTAATTCACAGTACCATAGTGAATTTGGGAAATAAATTGTGCTAGTTGAGAAAGATTACATCTTTTAAGTAGTGTCGATTTTCAGTTTCACACGAACGTGCCTTAGGTATTTTCCATCACAGCCCTCATTGTTTCAGGCTCTTGTGCTTTGATGTCTGTCTGAATGTTGTCCTTCAGTAGTTGGGGAGTCTGAGACTTGTTGAAAAACTTTTTCATTGGGATAGTCGCAACCTTGAGAAATTCTTTTCCCCAAAATTTGTCTGAGAAACTGGATTGTGGCCCTTGTCGCATGAACAGGTTGATGCATTTAAAATTTCGTTGGAGTGACGTCCGAGAGATCCAAACCGAAAGATCCAAACCTGTTGTGACCACATTCGAATTGATGCGCTCGGATCTTCTTTGATACTCTCTCTTACTCGTTCAAATAATGCTTCGTTTCTAACCTAACATGCCACTTCCTGAACCTTTACTCTCAAAATTTGCAAAATCTCTCCTACCTTAACGGCGACGATATGATCGTTGAGTTTGAATAATTTATCCTTGTTTTTGGTAGAAAGATTTCACTACTTGTGATCGTTTTCAATCGTCGCATCTTTACATGATTCATTTTCAAAGCCTCTTTTATAAAATACCTGAAAAAATCTAGGAAAAATTTAAACAAAAATGTTACTAAATTTTCAGACTCACTGATGACTTTTGGGACACCCTGTATTATATTTTGACAGTACTCAAATTTCTGTCATTTCTTAATGAGGAACTATAAGAATGTAACTAATTCTGTTATGTATCTATGCAAGAACGTGTAGTTTTGTTCATAGGTATTCATGGTTCTTCCTAGATTGTTTTTCTTTATTATATGAGTTGTGGTAGTGGAGTGGTATTTCGTTGCGCTCTACTTAGATCTAAGCATTAAACTATTAATCACATGGCCTTTCTCTCCTATAGTCTGTTTACTCAACTTCTATGGCATTTATATAATTGTTGGATAAGCAGAGCTTCGACCCGAGGCTCAGTTTCTATAACACCAAATACATTGAAACGTACAAAGATTGTACAGAACTCATTATTACTTTGTTACTCATTAATGTTATATTTTCAAATGTGATCTATTATTATATTTAGATCAGTGCAATATATTATAATAAATATACATTATGATTTTAAAATCCTTCATTTATTATATATTATGATTTTGTTTTTAATGCGTATGAGTAACATGTCATTACAAATTTTATTTATAATTGCATTTATATTTGATGGTATTTTCATTTTTAATTTTATACATTTAAGATTATATTTTTATTTATCATTTCTTTTGTATTATGTAATTTTTACTATATTATCAAATAATTCATTTCATTTTATATTTCTTATTAAAAAAAATTCCTTTCAGTCATGTTTTTCTATACGCCAAGGGAGTAAAATATTGCATTTCGAGATGTAACAAAATTAAGTACTACGTAAGCATTAATTGCTTTTTCACCGTTTAGCTTTAAGACGATCTGCTGAATTTACATTTCAAAGATCACTTAATAAATTTGTTTTTTTGAGACACTGAGATATCTATCAAATATCTATGTGCCTGCTCATAGGTAATATGTGTTCAATGTAAAAGGACTATCAGCAGAATTGAACTTCTTGACCAGATGAGCTATGAAATGCAACTTTATTTAGAGTAACCATTTCATTCACTTCATTCCATGTGAAAATTTGAACCAGTCGTCGTCGTCGACTTTTTTTTTTAAAACAAAGCTGTAATCATTAGATGCTCATTGTTTCACTGTCTAGGCTGGGTGTATTGCTAATACAACCCTCCTTCTCTGATTATCAGCCTTTATTCTCATCATTGACGTTGAGTTTAATCATACGATCACATCTCCTTGTTAACAGTAGTAGCGTTAGATGGCGTCGTTCATCAGTATCCCTCAGCTAACGATGGGACATCCCTTGAGACGCTCAATGCATTTTTAAAGACTTACTTTAATCAACGAACGCTTCTTTTTCATCTTTCCAGTTATTTTTGTCTACAGCAAATTTATTTTATTTTTTACTCTTACTCACGTGTTATGTGTTATTATTTACGATCGATTTGTTTAAAATATTTTATCGTTCCCCCTGGACGTCCTAACATATTAAGCTATCATAAGTACTTTCATAATTGTATACATTTATGTGAATTTATTTGATATATATATATATATATATATATATATATATATATATATATATATATATGTTATATTTATTGGGAAAAGAGTGCTCAATATTGGGAAAGAGTGCTCAATATTGGGAACAGAGCGCGTGTAAACATCACAGACCGCACAAAAACACACATATAGACACACACACACATATATATATTTTTAAATATATTCAGCCATATACATATATATATAATATATATATATATGTGTGTGTGTGTGTGTGTGTACGTGTGTGTGTGTGTAACGTATTATGATCCGATAAGACGAAACCGACCGTTCCACTATTTTTTTTGTTTAGGGCTAAAGCTGGGGTGGTTGGAGTTTGTGTTTTGTGCAATAAATCATATAGGTATATTCATGGTTATGACCTTTAAATTATTTGTTTGTAAATTATATTTTTTCATTATTTAATTAGTTTTCGATATTTTCCTTTTTATGTTTTCGTATTAGGAATAAAGAAAGAAATATGCGTGTGTATGTTTGTGTGCATATATATATATATATATATATATATATATATATATATATATATATATATATATATATATATATATATATATTTAGTGATATGTTTCGTTAAAATGACTGAAAAAGTACTTCTGTCATTTCTTTTATTCTTGTTTTAGCACAAGAAAAACGCAATAAAATAGAAATGTTATTTTTAATTAAATGAAGCGTATTAGGGAAGGAATGCTGCCCAAATATACAACTAGTACGTGTGTATAACTCGTGTATAAATATATCCATAAATGATCCATTCAATACGGGTGTCTGCAAAATATGTACGTAGAAATGTAACTCTTTTGCTAAGGATAAGCTCAGTTCAATGTTATGCATGTTAATAAATTTACAATTTGTACATCTATATAGAAAATGTCTTTTGTTTCATTAGGCTACATTCAATAAATAAATTTTGGTTTAAAGTTTACGAGGCATATGTATCTACATATGTAATCCCATTATATATGTGTGCTTTTAAGAGCTGAATGTTAATATATAAACTAAACATAGAAGTGTGGGTGAGAAGGACTGCTGACTCGTTACACTTCTCAAAATCTGACGAAATAACTAACATCAGAATTTGTTTTTAATCTCTTTTTTTTTTTTCGAAGGCTTTCTAGCATCCTCCTAAGCCGAAAGCTTTCTAGCATCCCCTCCTAAGCCAAAAGCTTTCTAGCATCCCCTCCTAAGCCAGCTTTCTAGCATCCACCCTCCCTAAGCCGAAAGCTTTCTAGCATCCCCCCTCCTAAGCCGAAAGCTTTCTAGCATCCCCCTCCTAAGCCGAAAGCTTTCTAGCATCCCCCCTCCTAAGCCAGAAAGCTTAGCATCCCCCCCTAAGCCGAAAGCTAGCATCCCCCCTCCTAAGCCAAAGCTTTCTAGCATCCCCCCTAAGCTAAGAAAGCTTCTAGCATCCCACCTCCTAAGCCGAAAGCTCTATCCCCCTCCTAAGCCGAAAGCTTTCTAGCATCACCCTCCTAAGCCGAAAGCTTTAGCATCCCCCCTCCTAAGCCAAAGCTTTCTAGCATCCCCCCCCTAAAAGCTTTCATCCCACCTCCCTAAGAAAGCTTTCTAGCATTCCCCTCCTAAGCCGAAAGCATTCTCCTAATCCCCCTTTTCTAGCATCCCCTCCCTAAGCCAGCTTTCTAGCTTCCCCCTCCTAAGCCGAAAGCTTTCTAGCATCCACCCTCCTAAGCCGAAAGCTTTCTAGCATTCCCCCTCCTAAGCCGAAAGCTTTCTAGCATCCCCCCTCCTAAATGTGATTTAATTTCTATTTATTTATTTTTTTATTTTATTTTATTTTTTGTCTAACATCAACAATGGGTCGTGATGTTAGTAAGCCGAAATAATGCCAGGCAAACTTACGAATATAGTTGAAAGAAATTACTGACCAAGCTAAAATTAACTTGGTGTACATGTAAATACGAATGTAATAAGCTTCCATATACATTCCTTGGCGGTAGAGAATGCTTGATTAAAAGATGAAGCATTGGTCCTAAATAGATTAGAGTTTTGTTAGACGATTTATGGGAAAACAAGTATTATAAAATATTAAATGTTCACATTTTCCTTCATCAAGACCATTTACTTGTAGCGATGAACTTCTCCAGGTGTGATCCAATTAAAATGGTTTTCAATAAATTTACCGCTTATATGAATTCAGGGGGAACTTATTGAATAAATAATTGTTCAGTGAATTACATCGATAAATCATTAAATAAATCATCAATCGCATATAATCTATTTAGTTTCAATCATTTTTCATTAAATTTTGGAAATTTCAATTTTTTTTAAACCCTTCTCTTATTTAATCTTGCAAATTCTCATTGTTTTCCGTTCTTCAATATTTCCTCATATCTATTCAGCTCTTTTATCGGCGCTCATCGTTTCTTTTCTTTAATCATTTATTCCTATCTTTATCTCCTTAACAGTCTATGCTTTAACTTATATTACTTTCTTCATTCCATTTGTTCTATACATTCCATTCTTCGTTTATAGTCCTATTCTCCGTCTTATGCTAGTCCTTTCTCATATTCTCTTCTTATCCTCGTTTTCGTTCTTTTTATTTCTATTATTTTAAAAACTATTGCTTGTATAACTTCTTTCTTCTTTTCATCTGTCTTTATTTCTCTATCTTTTCTTTATTTTCCCTGCTTCATTCATCCTCCTCTTTTCCCTTTTAGTCTTCTGCTTCCTTTTTCTCACTCTCGCTCTCACCTCTACACATTTTACTCTTTCCCTGCTTCATTCATCCTCCTCTTTTCCCTTTTAGTCTTCTGCTTCCTTTTTTCTCACTCTCGCTCTCACCTCTACACATTTTTACTTTTTCCCTGCTTCATTCATCCTCCTCTTTTCCCTTTTTAGTCTTCTGCTTCCTTTTTCTCACTCTCGCTCTCACCTCTACACATTTTACTTTTCCCTGCTTCATTCATCCTCCTCTTTTCCCTTTTAGTCTTCTGCTTCCTTTTTCTCCTCTCGCTCTCACCTCTACACATTTTACTCTCTTTCCCTGCTTCATTCATCCTCCTCTTTTCCCTTTTAGTCTTCTGCTTCCTTTTTCTCACTCTCGCTCTCACCTCTACATTTTACTCTTTCCCTGCTTCATTCATCCTCCTCTTTTTCCCTTTTAGTCTTCTGCTTCCTTTTTCTCCTCTCGCTCTCACCTCTACACATTTTACTCTTTCCCTGATTCATTCATTTCTCCTCTGTTCCCTTTTAGTCTTCTGCTTCCTTTTCTCACTCTCGCTCTCACCTCTACACATTTTTTACTCTTTCCCTGCTTCATTCATCCTCCTCTTTTCCCTTTTAGTCTTCTGCTTCCTTTTTTCTCCTCTCGCTCTCACCTCTACACATTTTACTCTTTCCCTGCTTCATTCATCCTCCTCTTTTCCTTTTTAGTCTTCTGCTTCCTTTTCTCACATTTTACTCTCGCTCTCACCTCTACACATTTTACTCTTTCCCTCCTTCATTCATCCTCCTCTTTTCCTTTTATTCTTCTGCTTCCTTTTCTCACTCTCGCTCTCACCTCTACACATTTTACTCTTTCCTGCTTCATTCATCCTCCTCTTTTCCCTTTTAGTCTTCTGCTTCCTTTTTCTCACTCTCGCTCTCACCTCTACACATTTTACTCTTTCCCTGCTTCATTCATCCTCCTCTTTTCCCTTTTAGTCTTCTGCTTCCTTTTTCTCACTCTCGCTCTCACCTCTACACATTTTACTCTTTCCCTGCTTCATTCATCCTCCTCTTTTCCCTTTTAGTCTTCTGCTTCCTTTTACTCACACTCGCTCTCACCTCTACACATTTTACTCTTTCCCTGCTTCATTCATCCTCCTCTTTTCCTTTTTAGTCTTCTGCTTCCTTTTCTCACTCTCGCTCTCACCTCTACACATTTTACTCTTTCCCCTTCATTCATCCTCCTCTTTTCCCTTTTAGTCTTCTGCTTCCTTTTCTCCTCTCGCTCTCACCTCCTACACATTTTACTCTTTCCCTGCTTCATTCATCCTCCTCTTTTCCCTTTTTAGTCTTCTGCTTCCTTTTTTCTCCTCGCTCTCACCTCTACATTTTACTCTTTCCTGCTTCATTCATCCTCCTCTTTTTCCTTTTTAGTCTTCTGCTTCCTTTTTCTCCTCTCGCTCTCACCTCTACACATTTTACTCTTTCCCTGCTTCATTCATCCTCCTCTTTTCCCTTTTAGTCTTCTGCTTCCTTTTCTCCTCTCGCTCTCCTCTACACATTTTACTCTTTCCCTGCTTCATTCATCCTCCTCTTTTTCCTTTTTAGTCTTCTGCTTCCTTTTCTCTCTCGCTCTCACCTCTCACATTTTACTCTTTCCCTGATTCATTCATCCTCCTTCCCTTTTAGTCTTCTGCCTCCTTTTTCTCACTTCACTCTCCTCTCACATTTTACTCTTTCCCCCTGCTTCATTCATCCTCCTCTTTTTCCCTTTTAGTCTTCTGCTTCCTTTTCTCACTCTCGCTCTCACCTCTACATTTTACTCTTTCCCCGATTCATTCATCCTCCTCTTTTCCTTTTTAGTCTTCTGCTTCCTTTTTTTTCACTCTCGCTCTCACCTCTTTTCATTTTACTTCTTTCCCTGCTTCATTCATCCTCCTCTTTTCCCTTTTTTCCTTTTGGTCTTCTGCTTCCTTTTTTCCTCTCACTCTCGCTCTCACCTCTACACATTTTACTCTTTTTTCCCTGCTTCATTCATCCTCCTCTTTTCCCTTTTTAGTCTTCTGCTTTTTTTTCTCCTCTCGCTCTCACCTCTACACATTTTACTCTTTCCCTGCTTCATTCATCCTCCTCTTTTCCCTTTTTAGTCTTCTGCTTCCTTTTTTTCACTCTCGCTCTCACCTCTACACATTTTTACTCTTTCCCCGCTTCATTCATCCTCCTCTTTTCCCTTTTTAGTCTTCTGCTTCCTTTTCTCCTCTCGCTCTCACCTCTACACATTTTACTCTTTCCCCTGCTTCATTCATCCTCCTCTTTTCCCTTTTAGTCTTCTGCTTCCTTTTTCTCCTCTCGCTCTCACCTCACACATTTTACTCTTTCCCTTCTTCATTCATCCTCCTCTTTTCCCTTTTAGTCTTCTGCTTCCTTTTTCTCACTCTCGCTCTCACCTCTACACATTTTACTCTTTTCCCCCCTTCATTCATCCTCCTCTTTTCCCTTTTTAGTCTTCTGCTTCCTTTTTCTCACTCGCTCTCACCTCTACACATTTTACTCTTTCCCTGCTTCATTCATCCTCCTCTTTTTTTAGTCCCTTTTTAGTCTTCTCTCTTTCCTTTTCTCATTCTCTCGCTCTCACCTCTTTTCACACATTTTTACTCTTTCCCCTTCATTCATCCTCCTCTTTTCCCTTTTAGTCTTCTGCTTCCTTTTTCTCACTCTCGCTCTCACCTCTACACATTTTACTCTTTCCCCTTCATTCATCCTCCTCTTTTCCCTTTTTTAGTCTTCTGCTTCCTTTTTCTCACTCTCGCTCTCACCTCTACACATTTTACTCTTTCCCTGCTTCCATTCATCCTCCTCTTTTCCCTTTTAGTCTTCTGCTTCCTTTTTCTCCTCTCGCTCTCACCTCTACACATTTTACTCTTTCCCTTCATTCATCCTCCTCTTTTCCCTTTTAGTCTTCTGCTTCCTTTTCTCTCGCTCTCACTCTCACCTTTCTACACATTTTAGTCTCTTTCCTGCTTCATTCATCCTCCTCTTTTCCCTTTTTTCTTCTGCTTCCTTTTTTTCTCTCGCTCTCCTCTACACATTTTACTCTTTCCCCTTCTTCATTCATCCTCTTTTTTCCTTTTAGTCTTCTGCTTCCTTTTCTCACTCTCGCTCTCACCTCTACACATTTTACTCTTTCCCCCACTTCATTCATCCTCCTCTTTTCCCTTTTAGTCTTCTGCTTCCTTTTCTCCTCTCGCTCTCACCTCTACACATTTTACTCTTTCCCCTTCATTCATCCTCCTCTTTCCCTTTTAGTCTTCTGCTTCCTTTTTCTCCTCTCGCTCTCACCTCTACACATTTTACTCTTTCCCTAGTTCATTCATCCTCCTCTTTTCCCCTTTTAGTCTTCTGCTTCCTTTTTCTCACTCTCGCTCTCACCTCTACACATTTTACTCTTTCCCTGATTCATTCATCCTCCTCTTTTCCCTTTTAGTCTTCTGCTTCCTTTTTCTCACTCTCGCTCTCACCTCTACACATTTTACTCTTTCCCTGCTTCATTCATCCTCCTCTTTTCCCTTTTAGTCTTCTGCTTCCTTTTTCTCACTCTCGCTCTCACCTCTACACATTTTACTCTTTCCCCGATTCATTCATCCTCCTCTTTTCCCTTTTAGTCTTCTGCTTCCTTTTTCTCACTCTCGCTCTCACCTCTACACATTTTACTCTTTCCCTGCTTCATTCATCCTCCTCTTTTCCCTTTTAGTCTTCTGCTTCCTTTTTCTCACTCTCGCTCACACCTCTACACATTTTACTACTCTTTCCCTGCTTCATTCATCCTCCTCTTTTTTTTTTTTTAGTCTTCTGCTTCCTTTTTCTCCTCTCGCTCTCACCTCTACACATTTACTCTTTTCCTGCTTCATTCATCCTCCTCTTTTCCCTTTTAGTCTTCTGCTTCCTTTTTCTCACTCTCGCTCTCACCTCTTCACATTTTACTCTTTTCCCCTGCTTCATTCATCCTCTCTCTTTTCCCTTTAGTCTTCTGCTTCCTTTTTTCTCACTCTCGCTCTCACCTCTACATTTTACTCTTTCCCTGCTTCATTCATCCTCCTCTTTTCCCTTTTAGTCTTCTGCTTCCTTTTCTCACTCTCGCTCTCACCTCTACACATTTTACTCTTTCCCCCCGCTTCATTCATCCTCCTCTTTTCCCTTTTAGTCTTCTGCTTCCTTTTCTCACTCTCGCTCTCACCTCTACACATTTTACTCTTTCCTGCTTCATTCATCCCTCCTCTTTTCCCTTTTTAGTCTTCTGCTTCCTTTTCTCACTCTCGCTCTCACCTCTCTACATTTTACTCTTTCCCCACTTCATTCATCCTCCTCTTTTCCCTTTTTAGTCTTCTGCTTCCTTTTCTCACTCTCGCTCTCCCTCTACATTTTACTCTTTCCCCACTTCATTCATCCTCCTCTTTTCCTTTTAGTCTTCTGCTTCCTTTTCTCCTCTCCGCTCTCACCTCTACACATTTTACTCTTTCCCTGCTTCATTCATCCTCCTCTTTTTCCTTTTAGTCTTCTGCTTCCTTTTTCTCACTCTCGCTCTCACCTCTACACATTTTACTCTTTCCCCTTCATTCATCCTCCTCTTTTTCCTTTTAGTCTTCTGCTTCCTTTTTCTCACTCTCGCTCTCACCTCTACACATTTTTACTCTTTCCCTGCTTCATTCATACTCCTCTTTTCCCTTTTAGTCTTCTGCTTCCTTTTTCTCACTCTCGCTCTCACCTCTACACATTTTACTCTTTCCCCTTCATTCATCCTCCTCTTTTCCCTTTTAGTCTTCTGCTTCCTTTTCTCACTCTCGCTCTCACCTCTACATTTTACTCTTTCCCCGCTTCATTCATCCTCCTCTTTTCCTTTTAGTCTTCTGCTTCCTTTTTTCTCACTCTCGCTCTCACCTCTACACATTTTACTCTTTCCCTGCTTCATTCATCCTCCTCTTTTTCCCCTTTAGTCTTCTGCTTCCTTTTTCTCCTCTCGCTCTCACCTCTACACATTTTACTCTTTCCCTGCTTCATTCATCCTCCTCTTTTCCTTTTTAGTCTTCTGCTTCCTTTTCTCACTCTCGCTCTCACCTCTACACATTTTACTCTTTCCCTGCTTCATTCATCCTCCTCTTTTCCCTTTTTAGTCTTCTGCTTCCTTTTTCTCACTCTCGCTCTCACCTCTACACATTTTACTCTTTCCCCTTCATTCATCCTCCTCTTTTCCTTTTTAGTCTTCTGCTTCCTTTTCTCTCACTCTCGCTCTCACCTCTACATTTTACTCTTTCCCTGCTTCATTCATCCTCCTCTTTTCCCTTTTAGTCTTCTGCTTCCTTTTTCTCACTCTCGCTCTCACCTCTACACATTTTACTCTTTCCCTGATTCGTATTCGCATGTTTTGTTTTTCTCATTTTTCCCTCTTTGATGTCTCACTTCCATTCCATTTGCTTTCTTCTGTAGTTCCCTACAAATCTCTTTATCTTCTTGTGTCGTTTTTAAGAAATGAAAACTTTATTCTATTATATCTGCTGATTATCCGAGAAAGATTATTCGTGTCCAATTCGATGGCTAACTCTGTTAGCGGGCACACTCTTCATTTTCATCCATAGTTTTCTTTTCAGTATGTAATTCCTTATTTTCTTATTTATATATTTATATTTATACAGTAAGAATAGTGGAGGGTGTGAGGCCGGTGAAGAGAAAATGGATCGAACGTTTGTGGGGTATGGTGGTGTTCTTGCGACGTTCAATGTAATTAACGTTCATCATATCTCGAGCCAAAATGAAAACAATTTTCAAACAACTCAGTCCCCCGACACGCAGCTTAATCAGCCCAATCATAATAACAAGACACCTCAAACACCCTTATTTGTCCAAACTAACATTTTAACGAAACTTTTCTCTTACTTCTGCGAAACATTAAGCAAACTTGAGTCATCGACCTTGCTGCTTCGACATCTTGTTTGGACTTCTTCATCCTGAAGATATATTTAAAAATATATTTGAATATTCTCATTTTCCCAGTGTTTAATTCTGAAAGGTTTCATATCAATTCATTTTATTCAACTATAAATTCACCTCTACTTCTTGCATTACTGTCGTTATTATTAGCAGTAATATTATTAACTACTGTACCGTAGTATTAACTACTGTTGTTATAATCAACATTGTTATTATTTTTCTTAATTTCATAATATTTGTTTTCTATTCGGTGCGATCTATTGCTCGGTCATTGCCAATGACAGAAGACAATGGAAGGTCGACGAGATGTGTACATCTTTATCGATTGGAAAATTATGTGGAATTTTACCCTCTGTAGTGTGAGTGCAGTACTGGAAAATATTTTTCTATTTCGTGGATGTGATCACTAAGAATATTTTAAAGATGTTTGACACTGACTTTCTTGATCAAACTAATTGTCTCACTAATGATAGCTATGAACTGATTTTAAGTGATTCGTCTTTTGGATTTCAGGTATTGACTTAATTTCTTAAACATTTTTACATCTGTAAAAAGTGACACTAATACTTAAAAGTCGACTTTATAGTCAATTCATTTATTAAAATTTTATTTCCATTTTCATTGACTACATTTTTTTCAGAATTTCCTGTCTTCTGTGTCAGGTTATTGGTTTAATCCAGTCGTTGTTATGCATGTTAATCATCATTCCCTTGTAACCACTGTTTTCTTTTGTTTTTCTTTTTCATAAATACGGACGATTAACGCCTACGGTCGGATACGACATTTTTCTATCATTTGTGTCCATTTTTCTGAATTTGCTCAAATTCCAATTAATTAGGTTAAAACTTTCAATGAAAATAACACTTTTAAAACGATCTTTGTCGGGTTCTATAGCCCTAGTTTACACCCATCGTCTTTTGTGTTTATATATATATATATATATATATATATATATATATATACACGCACACTAATAATATAGAGATTCTGTTCGACAGCGTTTGGTACAAATGTGTTTAATGCACGTAACAGTCGTCAAGAACAGGTTGAAATATTATTTATAACGTACTATTAATTTACTTATATATATATATATATATATATATATATATATATATATATATATATATATATATAAAAAACCCTCTGCAAAAATATTGACTGTTGTAGGACCGGAACCAACTGCTCAGTCGGAGGTATCTCTAATTCTGAAAAAGTAGTATAACAAGCTGCCATTTTACCAAAATATTAATGATAAAAAATATAAATCGGGATATCCTCTGGGTATTGAAAACAGAGACTCTACAATCACCGGCATTCCTTCTCCAATACTTTTTTTAAAACACTAAACTACTCTATCTGAGCATTATTTGAAACTTAAATGTAGAGGTTTCACCCAACAAATTAAATAGGAAATCATCTGTCAGTCTCAAACTCAAAAGATCTTTGAAGAAATTAATGCGAGAAATTAAACAAAATCAAATGGCTACTCGTCAAGATTTGCAGGATGATTTTCTTTCATCAGGAATCTGTGTCACTAAATGGAGAATAAGCAATGAAATTCATAGGAACAATCTAAAATCACGCCCCCCTCGGAAAACTCCGCTGCTATTTAAAAGAGACAGATGCTAGGTTGAAATTCGTTCGTAAACATAAGGATAAGGAAAAATCGTATTAGGAACGAGTATTATGGACAGACGAAATCAAAACTGAGTTGTTTGGATGTAATTCTAGAAATCATGTATGGAGAAAAGATGGTGATGCCTTCAAACAAAAGAACACAGCTCCATCAGTGAAATTTGGAGGTGGTAGCATCATGGTTGGGTATGTTTTTTTCTGCAAATGGTACTGGCAACATATCAGTAATAGATGGTAGAATGAATGACGCAGCATATCAAAATATTTTGGAAGCAAATTTAATGATTTCGGTTAAAAAACTTGAACTTCCTCCTGATTAGATCTTCCAAAAAGATAATGATCCTAAGCACATTTCAAAAATCTAGAAAGAATTGTCTTGCTAAAAATAATGTAAATATACTGAAACCGGTCCACAGATTTAAACCCAATCGAGAATCTGTGGCATTATTTGAAAATTCAAATCCAATTTGTTTTTTTTTTTGTAAAGCATGACCCCCATTTATTGAAAATCTGCACTGAATCTTGAATTTTATAATAAAATATGCAATAAAACTAAGACATTTAATTAAAAAAACCTTTTAATTGTTTTTATGAAGCAATTTAATATATATATTCTGGATGCTATTGTCTTATGAAATTTTTTCAAATTTTGATTTTTTTGTATGTGTATTTTTTATAAATTAAACGACATTATCAAAAATTAAGAACGATAACTATTACAAATTTAAATCAAAGTTCAATAAAATTTATGGAGAATATTTTCGTAAATTTTTAAGATGACTGGGTAATCAAAGCATTTTCTTATTGAAAATATTAAATTTAATGTATTAGTTTGAAATTAAAACTAAAATAAAAGCTGAAAGTAAGATTTTTTTTTCTTTTTAAAAATTAATTTTAAACCACGGTTATCACTATTTTGAGGAGACTAAACCGTGTCTGTCCCATGGAAGGAAATTGTTTAGCGAGAGAAAATATATATAGGAGCTACTGAAAATGAACGAAAAAAAGGTACAATAATTATAAAGTGAGTTTTAAGTACAGTAAATATGTAAACGTTACAAATCTCTCAGTGTATTACTGGAAGAATAAAAGAGTAGGGAAGTCCCCTAAAATTCCTTGAAGAATTGAGAAAAAAAGTAGCAGATGTAAAAACGCAATACTAAGTTTGAGCCACGATAACAATACTTAATAAAAAAAAGTTAATTAGCTAGATGTAAACATAGCATAAAACACCTATCGCGTCACCGGCCACCTGACTAACGTATTGATTTATTTGTATGTGTTTTATTTTGTTTTTCATCGAACACGACCCTATAGTACGGCCATTGGTGGTTTAACTCACCCGCAGGATTTTTTTTTTTTTTTTTTGCCTAATTTTCTTTTTCCCTGTGAAGGTGTGGTTACATATGGGTATGTCTAGATTAACCAATGAATGTCAGGTCAACGCTAAAACATAAAAATAAGGTGGAGTTGGTTGTTTATCTGCACACATATATGCACATACATCATATGTAAAGAAAACTGATGCTTCGACATGTCATTCAACGATACTAGGGAACAATTTCAGCGACAAATGTATTATTGGTGTATCCAAGTATGATTTGCCGATTTGATGAAGTAGACATAAATTTATCAGAAACTGTTTTTTAAAAAAAATTTAATATACTCAGGAAGCTTCTTAAAGGGGCCAATAGGAAAAAATAAATATGTGGAAACATCTATATAGGTTGTTAATTATACTGAATAGAAGGTAAATGGCAATATTATAGTTGAAGAAATCAAATAAATCTTGGGTGGACCATTATATACTAAAAAATAATGGCTATACAATTATAAGACGTAATAATTTATGAAAAATATTTTAACTACATTTTAAGGTAAAAGGTAGACAATGGCGGCATAGCACCGTTAATTCATTTCTTTAGCTTAACAGGTTTTTATTGTTCTGAAACTTTATAATATGAATTTTTTATTGTAAATATAGGGGACATTGTTTATTTTAGGATTTACGGTTATTTTTAATATTTTCCATTTTACCGTCGGACTTTTGTTAACTTCTTTTACGTGCCAAACATATTTAGAAAGGGACGTTCTCCTATGATACGCATTGTTGTTGAAAGATATGTGTTGATACCTATCAACACATATCATCGTTCAATAAAGTATCCCCCGCATCAGCTAGCTGAAGACATCATTACATTAACATTAATGTGGGAGGCACTTCTGCCGTCTCATATATATATATATATATATATATATATATATATATATATATATATATATATATATATGGACATATATATATATATATATATATATATATATATATATATATATATATATATATATGTGTGTGTGTGTGTGTGTGTGCGTCATCAGGACCGAATTACAAAATGGTTTAAATTTATTCAGGCAATATATTAAAATTATTTTGAAAATAAATCACGAGAGAACAGGAAGTCTAACTTATTTGACCTAGAAATTTTTTCCTGGATATTTATATTATTGGAGAGTGGAGTGGAGAAAAAGAAAAAGGAAAAGCAACGTGTCAACACAATAAACAGAGATAGTAGGGGAACGTACAAATACATTTGGATTAAAACAAAATTTATATTATCATCATCATCTAATTTCCCGCAATGTTAGAACAGTCGTCATTATATATATAAAAAGGAATGAAAAATTAATAATATATATAAAAATATAATATATAAAATATATATTTTATATATTATATAATATATAAAATATATAAAAAAAGTTAAATTCAATATATCTAATACATCTTCATAATTATAAAATACATCATATGTGTGTGTGTGGCAT